AGATTCCATTAGAATGAATTATCAAATGTGTTGTACACGTACATGAAGCTGTTGAATTTACGATCTAGGATTCAATATCAGATTCACGCCTTTGATGATCCGATGATTCATTTTGAGAGTATAGAGGAGCAGCTTTCGGCTCGTCCTCTATACTTACAAGCGAGCACTTACAACCTTGTTGTAAGTGCTTGCTTGACAAACGAGGTGGAACGATGATGTCATCATGGCACGGCACTAGTTGTGATCCGAGGTGAATTCTGTTTGAGGGGTGCTTACGCTTGGCGGAATGTTGGATCCAAGTGGACGAGATTCATATCCAAGATTACGATCCCTAAAAGCATGAAATCTCGATCTCAAAGAGATGGAGACGATGACTTGTTAGAGATGTGGCAAGACTGGCCACATTTAGAGAGAATGTCATATGAAGATCAAAGACCTAGTTTTCACTTCATTGACGAACGTTGCAGAACACTTCGATCATGAGGAGAACGATCTGCTAAACGACGGCCTATGATAGCCACAATGCTCGGTATTTGGCTGCAAATCACGTTATGGATAGCAGAGTGAACCACCTTGGAGAGTTTCATGCGACACTATGTTACTATGCAGGTTGTACATGGAGAGCAAAGGTAGAGTTTGCTAGCATAATATCCTGAGTTAACTCTTTATATTTTTTTTCTATCATGTGATGACTATGATTTAATGTGATAGTGTAGTTTTTTTGTTTTTTCAGAAATAGAATAGTTAGGATGGGAAATCCACGTCATTTTGAACTTTTAAAGTAGAAGTAATTAGATTAGAACAAAATAGGTCTTTTTACGCTGCAAGTTAAGAAGTAGTAGTAACATCAAAGGAACTTCAATAGAAGCGGTCGGTCTTCAGAGATCGGCGAGGTCCTAACCCGAAGGAGCAGATTGGGAAGTTCCAAGAAGAGGTAGGAAGTACGAAGACCTAGCTACTCTTAATACCTAGTAGGATATTCGGGCGAGGGTATTCGGTATTCGCGGATGAGGATCTCGGAGTTCCAGCGGACACATGAGCGGCGTAGTATCTCCATGGACGTAAAAGATAGTGCAGCACGGGAAAGAATTTTGAATGACGGCACCTTCAATTCACACAAATGGAATTTGTTGCAACGGTGGGGTATACACAAGGAGGCGAGAACTCGGTGCCCACATTTCACGAACACATTTTACAATCGACGCGAGATGAGAGACGGAGGCTCGAATGAGAGAAAGCAGCCATGGCGCGCCCAATAAAACTACACGCTCCGAAAGTTCCTGAAGTAGAATTGCAAGCTCATCGTAGTGCTTTAATTCTCTCGGTGATGGATTTTCTGTTGTGAGGTTGAAATTGAGCGAGTGAGGCGATAGTACAAGAATGAGATAACAATGGGTTGCCAAAGCCCTTGGGCTATCGAGGAAATCCTTAGACATGGCAAATTTGGGATTGGAAGAAGATCCTCGGACGTTGCGCGGGTAATGATGGCGATCTTACCTTTGACAGTGAGAGTGTCAGGGTAACGAGAGAGAAGGAAAGGGCTTATGCGACTTGTTCAAGCATCCTCGCACCGAGAAGAATGGCTATCGCACCATTTGGTACCACGATTGATTCAAACGAATTGTCGCAATGGCGTTGGCGTCCTGCTCAAATCACTTACATGATGACTTGGAAGGTTGGGTTCATGAGGAGAGCACTGCGAGAAGATTGCATCCACTGGGCGCGCATCTTCTGAACAACTAACCAAGAACATATCAGGCTGATTCCAAGAGGATCTGCCTGTTACTTGTTCCCATTTTTGATCAATTTCTATAGAGGTATGGATTTGCTGATTGTTGAGGAAAGCAGAGAGTTCCTGTTGCGGAACGTGGTCCAGGAATGAGAAGAGGTGGAGAGTGCCAATGAGGTCGACACAAATCCTGAGGGCGAGCCAAGAAATTCATCTCAACAGAGAAGAAAGCGGCCCCGAGGCAGACAAGAATCACAGCCAAGGAAGAGAAGGAGTGTTGACGAGACCGTTGTAGCAAGAAGAACGTTGGCGCCGAACAGCTCCACTCGAGTTGCGATCGCCGAACTTTCGGACCAAGTCGAAGATGAAAGCCAGGAGGTTGATACTGGAAGAGTACAACAGCATAGAGAGTAGAGGTGTTGCATCGAAAGGACGTCCCACTCGAGAAGCAAAAACATAAGCGACTACAGTAAGAGAGAAGGAAGCACCTGCAAGGGGGCCTCGGATTTCGGAGGTAAGGTCGACGCCCGTAGAGCCAAGCCGGGCTACAAGGAAAGACAAGGGAAAAGCTGTCTTGACAGAGGAAGTGTCCCCGAGACAAGATGAGGTTCCTCCGGCGGGTATCAGGATGAAGACCCCTCGGAAAAGAAACGCTGAGTTGTTGGTAGTGTCGTCGGACACTAAGGAAGACCTTGCGGACCTGGAAGAAGTTGTTGCGAAGGTCGTAGAGGACGTAGATGTAGCCGAGTGTGGACCACAGAAGGTAGCCTCACTCCAGACGTCCACCGGGATAGTCATACTGGAGACGGGTGAGGATACATCAGCGGAAGAAGCACAGTCAAAAGCCTTCAGTGTCGCTAATGTTCTGTGTGTGCAGGTACTTCCGTTGCTCAAGTACCTCGACCAGAAGAAGGAGAAGTATGCGGAAGCAACCACCGCCGGATCTTACGTGGAGATAATACGAAACAGGATGCGGACTAAGGTGGTAGTGACTTCTGCGGTTGCAGTGAAGGAACGTTAGAGCCAGTCGATGGAGGCGAAGTACCAGGTACTTTAGAAGAGGCTGGCCGAGGAAGTTGAGAAGCGGAGGTATTCGGAGAAGGCCTGTGAGGATCTTCGTGAGGACGTTGAAAGGACCAAGTGTGTAACCGTAGACCTCCTAAGTAGGTTGGAGGCGTGTCGGACTGCCTATAACGCTGAATTGCTGAGATTGGACGAGCTGACGGCAGCAGCGGAGAAGAAGGTGCATGGATACAATGCCGAGTTGGCAGTGAGGGCGAAGAAGTTGGCCGAGTATGAGGCTGTGCGGATCTCGGACTTGGAGTTAATCGAGAAGTTGGAGATTCGGTGTAGCGAGTTGAGGTCACAACAAATGCAAGCCAAGGAGCAGTTATGCGAGATGGAGACAAGATTGACGGAGGCCGAGGAAAAGAATCGGCAGTTATCCGAACAAGCGCGTGACGCATTAACTGCGAGGGTGAATCAATGCTTGCGCGGTTTTGTTTTATGGCAGGTAGAGACACACAAATGGCTACGGTTACGAGAACTCGAGCATCGTGCGGCGGAATTGACAGCAAGGAACGGTCGAAGGTAGCGCCGGTTAGCCAAGGAGCTCGACGCGTTCCAATCGAGATCGCGCGACGCGATAGTAAATTTGGACTTAGAGCTAGTGGCCGTTTTGAAAAGATTAGGTTTATATCAGAAGTTAGAGGGAGTGGCAATTTCCGACTCCGCAGGAGTATGACATGTTCGGAGCTCGCATCAGAGCAAGTGACAGTTTTGTGTTAGTTAGGAATAAAGTAGTCCAAGGCATTGGACTTGGAGGTATGTTCTCAATTTAGTTTCTCTCAATTTTGAAGTTTGAATTCTCCGCTCGTCTGTGAGTTGAATGTTTTGTCATCGCGCGAGAGGTACTTCGGTTTGTCGAAGATATCGCAGCCGAAGTAGTAGACTCAATTCCGATGTTCTGAATAGCGATTGGCTAAAGTCAGGATTTAAGCAATTTCGCAATTGATAGCTGTGTGCAGAATCCCTGAGTGTACTCTTTGGTATTTCCCCCCCCCCCCCCCCCCCCCCCCCCCCCGAATACTAAGACAAGGTCGCGATCGACCTTTGTGTTGCTGCAAATTGATAATTTCAGGAGTGTGTGTGTTATGCTACATTGCGTGTCCTCTTAGTGACTTTTGAGTCGAACAACTGCAATACTTCTCGGAATGACAGTGACATGAGAATTCAAACTCCTCAATAGACTGTTAAACTATTGATTGTTAAATCTACTGCGGTACTTTTTGTGTTGTTTCTGTCCTTGTAGGATCGGATCTTTACCATTATGCTCCATTTTGGTATTTATCAGTCATTACATTTAGTTCCAGTTAACTCTTGATATAAAGAGTTACCTTGTGTTAGATTTCCATCTAGATTTTCTTACGGAGTAATTATATAGTTTACGAAGGTTACCCTTGCCTCTAACCTAGTAGGTTTATTAGTTATCTCTTCATTTTATTAATCTATGCTATTATGGCTGCGATTTAGTTCTAGTTAATTCTCTTTAACAAGAATAATCTTGTGTTATGTTTCTTTCTAGAACTTGTCGCGAAAGAATAATATAGGATACGGAGGTTAATATTCCTTTAACATGAGTTAAGAGAAAGATAGTTAAAGTTAACTCTTGTTAATGAGTAACCTTGGTCCAAGCTAAATATAGCTAGGAAGTGTCACCAAGATTGGGAACTTAACCCTAGTGACTTCATATTGTAAGAAGTCTTTTTCACTATTGCATGTTCCAGCCATGTACCTAGATGAACCACATTATCTTCGTGTCTTGTGTGCTTGTTAACTCGATGTTAGCTAACTAGTTATCTAACCATGCTAAATGAAGTAGACTTGATCACAATTTAAACCAATTTCTAACAATGAGTTTTTGTGATATCGTATTTGAAAGTTAAATTTAATTATGAAAAGTAATTTTCATTAAAAAATATCTACTATCATTACATGTGATTTATATAATTTTTCTTGTCAAAAGAATTATATAACGTAATTGATTGCAACGTTCAAAATCTGTCCACACCTAAATACATTATGAGATACAAGAGTGATAAGTGGATGTATCTCAGCCTTTATTGTAAGATCGAGAATTAAAAATAAATAATTGATGATATGACTGTATCAAAGCAAATCTTAGTGATGATTATACCATTGAATGCAAAAACTTGATGTATACAAAAGGTGAATATTTATAAAACTTCCTATGAAATTGGAACATGGGTCATAAAAATATGTGAGTTATTAACATCCATGCTAGAGATAAGTTTTGACACTAATATATTTGTTTGATATCTATCTATGACCAATTTATCTATGATAAAAGTGCGAAATAAAATGCGATCACTTGGTAAGTTAAGCCCTGCTACGCAAGCCAGAAGGGTTAAGAGTCCCTCACTCTGTCCTCCGGGGGTAGGAGATCCCACGAGAGAATTTGTGGCCATTCGATGTCCGCCTGATCTCGCCTGAATTGTACCATCTAGGCTCTTTCCAATTCATGACAAGCGGGCATACACAAAGTGCTAAGGGGCCTGAGATGGTCAATAGAACACCCACACAATTTCAATGCGGAGTTCTGTGTGTCGTGAGCTACTAATATTCAGATTTGTGCTTTGAGATCGGTTGGTTCAGAATCTCAAACGACAAATGTGATATGCCTGTAGAAAAGTACAAGAGTGAAGACAATGCAGTACTCACCAGTCTCTTGCAGAGCTCTCAAACAGACGGTGAGCTATGCAAATGAACTAAAAAAAATAACAAATTTAAATGAAATAATTTGATCGCGGTGCATCAAACGCACCAAAAAGGCATATAACAAGGTTGAAGACAAATCTCATCCGCATTGCTTGACGTACACAATATTTTTTCTGGGACTGCGGAATCCAGTGAAGAGAAAAAAATGTGGGGTCGCAAAGAGCTGCCTGAATCAAGTCGTGTGATCCACGGATGTTTTCCTTCCCGATCAACAATTTAGGAATTTGGGTTGCACGCACGAGATCAACAAGAGCTTCGTCCTTGATTCAGAAGGTGGAACTGAAGTTGGATTGTTGCTGGTCAGAAAGATTAGAAACATTGTTGCTGGTCAGCAGATAAAACTGACAGAAAGAGATCTCACTTAGCTTTTTGGAACGGAAAGTGGAATGGAACCACTGTGCATGTGATGGATGGGGTCTAAGGGGAGAGGAGTGCAGAATTCATGCCTCGTCAATAGATGTCTGAACCTCATGACTCCCTCTCTTCGGATTCCCTGAACGTTAAAAAGAACAATGATGTCCGTATCATCGGAAAGTAATGTAACATTCTACTCGGTCAAAATTGATAAGGTTCATAAATCAGACCTTTCCTTATGATTGAGTCGAAACGAAGGTATCCTAGCTTTGACAAAAGATGAATGGACCTGGTTCAAACAAGACCTTGTCCTGAAAACTGTGACTCCGTACACATTTATCAAATAATGGACTTTACTTGGGGCGCCGACGCTCGTGATAAATATCATCCAATCCTGTTTTGATTGACGTCACCATGGTTGATACGTTTTTCACTACGGCTGATGCAACCAAACCAGCACATCTGAAAAACCTGGAAAAGAAACTTATGCTTCAGAACACATAAAACACTCGTGAATCAGAAAGATTCTATTAATACAGCAAATGTCAAGTAGACGCACCTTGAGGCAAATTCATCACCCGACATTCCACCAATTGTAGTGGGTGGACGAAGGGATGATTGAGGCCGAGGCATGATAGGGGCGGGACCTGTGAATCCACACATTTGAAACATGTTGACTCAGATGTATATTTCAGGTATGATCAAACAAGAGCGAATGGATTCCTGGTAATGGACAACTACCGAAAAGTATGGATTTTGTAAAAAAATTACGATCACCGAGACTCATCAGTAACAGCTGCCATTGTCAAACAATCTGCAACTGAAGTCTGGGGGAGAATGAATGGAGAAAGAAGGCCGGAACTGAGGTGAAATGACTTTTCACTTTAGTCCCCGTCTTCTTTCTCAATCTATCTCTTCATTCTCCCCTAGTCTTCAGACAAACGATAGTACCTACAGATTCCCATCGTAGCTGAAATGCGGTGTTCGAATTGTTACCAGAAATTAGTAGTTCACATCACCAACTAATTTACAAATTACTTGCACTTTACTAATCAAGAAAATAAACCTTGAAGTCCCCTTATACAAACAAAATCTCACTCGGAGAATCTCCACTTAATTCTTGTGCTGAACATCCGTAACCAGAAAAGGCTAACAAAACTCCTATTCGGTCCAAAAACACACATGTCTATGATCCGAATGGGTAGGATGTTTCAAACAGAAGTTTTCGAACCTTCCTCATCGTTATGTCCCTGCTCTATGGGACTCGTGGTTGCCCCTTGAGGTCTCCTATCAGCAAGAAACTGCATATACAAAGGTGACAGGCATCAATTAGGAGGTGATCATCATCAGTACCCCAGCCAGACGCATAATTTCTTATTGTTTAGTTTGACCAACATAATGAGCGTTATCCTGTCTTATTTTTTATGTCCGGCTAGATCAAATGATCACCACATATTCCTCCCTTTCTGTCGTAGATAGCGAGAAACGGAAGATGAGACCGCACCAAATAAACCCAAATAAACTTCACTTAGACTTTATCGTGATCGCTAGATTCCACAATTTCATATCCTTATTCTGTTTTTGCTTTGCATTAACTAATACATTTTATTTTGTATAATATGTTCTCCTCAGGCAAAACATACCAGAGGCATCATAGAACATAGGACAATCGATCAGAAATGAAAGAAACTGAGTCGAAGATATGAGCCTTACTTCCACACCAACACATAGAGGTAATTCTGCTCCATCTGTAGGCTTTCCAGAAGAATTTTTTACATCTTTGTGTATTGAGTAGCCTATGCACGCATATTTGAAGTCTGCTAATCTCCTTCCATCTTTTGTTGCATCTCGCTCAGAATCCCCCATGGTCGAAAACACTGCATTCAATCGTGCTTAATTAAGCTTGAGATACAATTGAAGAAGTACATTCCGTTTACTTGAGATGAGACCCCTCATTCTCATATATGGTGACAAGTATGACGAATGACAACTATAACGAATGGTTAAAAAGAGGCCAAGAATCGTAAGAGGACCACACGATGGCAAGGAGGGTTTCTCGATGTGAATTACTACCACGAGTCTTTGCACAAGCTAACTCATGAGGTAAATGACAATTGCAGGAACACGGATACAAGGACATAGCACTCCATGCCATGTGGTAACGAAGTAAAATCGGGGCAAAAGAACCAACCTGAAGACTAAGCTTATGTTACAATTCTCATAAGGAAGTTTTCTCTACAAATGTTCTTAAAATGTCAGGATTGACACTAACTTAGGGACAGCAAACAACGCAGGATATGGTGATAGAAAAGAAGTGGACTTTTCCTGAGATCACACGACTCGCTTCCCCATTAAAGAGCCCTTTGAATCCAGATTAGGTGAGAGGTCCTGAAAGAAAATTCAATGCTTCCTATGTATGGGAACTTGTGTAGGACAGACAAAAGAAAATAAACATTCAAAACCCTATAGAATCCATAAGAAAATTGACACGAACAGGACACAAAGCCAGCACTTCAAGTTGGAAACGAAGGTCACCAATCAGTTGCCCGTTCGCCTCCTTAATGGAAATGCGAAGGAAGGAGAAAAACAACCAACCTCGAGTTTCCGAACGACTCAAGCCGATACAAAGAGGATTCTGCGCACTGTCTCTCAAAGAACTGGAATAAAGGAGACATCCTCTGCAACTTCTACTCTTCTCTCCCGCTTCAGAGGGATTATCAATAGGGGGTGAAGATCCAGAGGTACTAGCCTCAACCCCATCATCCTCCTGCATGATTCACCAAAGGAATGAACTGATTTGTTCCCACTTCTTGCAGTCTTCGGGCTTCGGAAGTTCAAATTCTGCAGAAAGTCAGACGTCTGCAGCAGTAGAGAGCTGAATCAAACACACAACACCGAGGGAGGTGCTGCTGAGGCAATAATCTCCAATTTCGTGTCCTCATGCATACACCCCAAAGTGCAGACACGGGACGGCGGGCGGAATTTCGTCTTCCAAGTCACGTGACCATGCCACACTACGAACTGATCAACGATCTTAGCCTGTCAGTCACTTGCACAGATCACTGCCATGCTCTCCACTGTGAAATGTCGACAACTCGGAAGAAATTTCGGCATAATCGAAGCCCTGCCCTCCAGAACTCCAATCGAATTCCAACACAGCAAATCCAACCACACGAGAACCTGCCACTACTGCTTCCAGAGCATAGCACCACACGCAGAGGTCCGATTACAGTAAACGATCATAATAAAACAGAAGTCGAAAGAGAAATCAAGAGGCGCTCCTCCCCGATTTTCGTCCTCGTGAAAAGTCCACACCACACGCCAGATGTTAATGCTGTCTGACCGACCACTGGCCCCGGCCGTGACCTAGACAGCTATGGGCTGTAAAAATACTATTTTTTCTCTATTAAGAGTTTGCTGAATTAGGCACTCCGGAGGTTGGCTCCGATCCGACCTGACTTCGAATCGAAGCTCCGTTTGAATGGAGAGTATGAAAGCAGACTGTGAATGAAAGGAAGAAGTGACAGCTCTGTCATCACGTGGAAAGAGCTCCAACTCCTTCCCTGCCTTTAGTAGTCTTTAGCACCGCATTCCAGCAGTTCCAATGGAGGTCTACCTATCATGAAGCTTTGGCCTTCGTTGAGCCAGAAAGGCTACGAGTTGCAGGTACTTTGTGGTGTGTCCAGTGTTGCCATTTCATTCATTCTCAAGTTCGTTTCCTCCACGATTGTTCGTTCTTACGCGTGAAAATAAGAGATGTCTGAAAGATGTAGGATACATCATAGTCGTATGGATTAGGAGTATATTCAAGACAAACTTTTTTATTTTGTATGAAGCCCTTTGAAAATGTGGATGAACTCTTTCTTTTCGGTGAATTTCGGTGAGACTTCACTTCTTCGCTATAAGAGGGACTGAATGAACTCTTGCTTTATCCATACGACCTTATATGAAAGTGTGCATCCCTTTATAAGAACTAGAGGAACTGTTGAAATTTTTTGTTCCTCCCAAAGGGAAATCCATTAGGGGTTTCAGTTTTTTAAAAGAGATGAAATTCAAGAGAACTAAAGCATTTTAACCAGGAGTATACACTTTGGTAGACATGCAGGTGGTTCAAATAATAGTATAAATAAATGATTAAATATTTACTCTTACTTATCTTGTAAACACAAGAAGAGTTCTCTATATTTGCTGCGATAGAAGGCTAGTACGATGATGAGTGAGAGGTTATTTTTTGTTGAATAGATACAAATACACAAACAATAGATTGACAAATAAATCCACGGCTACATCTGTTGATGAAATAATTTATGAAATTCTTGGACGCAGTCATTCAGAAGAAAATGCAAAAGGCAAGTAGTCCTTATTGACTAATATCCCAAAGTTGACAATAATGACCGGATTCCAACTCCCACATGAGATATACTATTTGTGCTCAAAACAGCGGGATTCCCACCGACGACTTTCTCAACGTGGATGTTTGCTAGTATAAACTCATACAAACATGATATAACGGTATCATTCACCTCGATTAAACCCACGAAAATTCACCAAAAGCGAGCGTACCACAAATTTGATGAGCAGGCAATTTGAGTGGTACATGGAATGATATTGGATGATTTTCAAGAGCACAGGATCTTATTTCTGTGCAATGACCAACAAAACCGAAGTAATTGGACACCGAGAACAACAACGCCTCCGGTAAGCTTCATTTTTCCACTAAGACCAGCTCCATGGTTTATCACTTTCGCAACTACAGGCGGAAATCGGGCTAAACATTCGAGGGTAAATATACTCCCATTCTCTGTGGAGACCGAAGACTCAATCGTATTTACAGTCTTATGTCAAAGTGGCAGTGACCTCTTAAAAGATACTTCTTTTGCAATTCCAGGAAAGTGGCATCACTGTCTTCACAAGAAATCAGTGAAAGATTGCAAGACCGCATTTTCAATGCACAGATAGGTATCACACTTGTTACACGAGCGAGGCAGATAATTGAAGAAATTAGGCTATTATACACCAACATCAGCATTTACAGTAAATTGGATTTGTCTCATAACAAATCCCAGCCTGGGTCAATGTACATGGAGACAACTAATCCTCCTGAATAAAAATCGCTGGCAAGCTTTGCAAAAAACTTGTCAGACAGCGCTAAAATTGGCGTTCATGGGTACTGAGCATACGATATACAGTTTGGCTCAAGACATAAGATCTTCAGACGTCTTCGACATAGGGAATGTGCACTGGCTTCAGAACAATCATCTCTATGACTCGGCGGACGAAGTAAGTGCAAGTATCACAGAACCCTGTCCACAGGAACTACAGGGACTAAGTCACCCTAGCTTGAAGGTATGGTCGTGAATGATGTGCGATAGACAATATGAGAACTATCTTGATCCACGCCCACTCACTTGGGACGAAGACAGGCGTCTGCAAAACTCCACCCAGCACCAACCGCCTTGCAAGCTCATGATATATTACAGATGTCTGTAGACGGATCAGTGAATGCCGCAGCCGACAGCATAATCCGCTCTTTAAGACATCGGATCAGTCAGCACATTCAGCCGGGACAGCTTACTGTGCACCCAAACCCAGTGACTTCGGCCTCTTGACAGCCTCTACCGGTTGAGTTATACCTTGCTTTTCTCGTCCGAGCCCATGACCCTCAACGTACCCCATTTTGGCCATCATCCTGGAGGCAAAACCAGTTGTGTGTGCCTCGAAAACAGCAAACTCCGAGGGATTACTCTTCATGATATGATTGCTTTCACGACCTGCGGCACCAGAGAAACCAACATCTGCCCTGGATGATCGAGATCGGACTACTCCTACCACGGTTGATGCGGGAGTTGAACTCCTAGTCGATTCCGTGGTAATACAAGCATCTTCACCCTCTGCTCCTCTGCCTATAAAAGTCACTGGGTTCGTCGCATAAACAATAGCCGTTTTACTAGCTTTCTTGTCACTCCTCTTCATATGGCTTCCCTGACCAGAAGGTGTGCCTTTGCTGTTTCTACCTCTTGATTTGTCGGCGGATCGACCCTTGGGGTTCGAGGTTGGTGTCTTCATGGAAGACGAGAAGTACCTGTTTTTACTACCTTTCCTACTAACAGGAGTCTCCAAACCTTGGAGAGCTTGTCTTGCGGCGCGTTTCATTTTCGAAACCTTTCGCTGCTCCTCACCTGTTAACGGTCTGCTGCTCCTTGGAGTGGTCTCCACGTTTTGAGATCTTGCTTGTCCAAGAAGCTGCGACGTATATTGCAGCGTAATAAAGATTAAGACTATCTCCAAGCTTTCTTAACAAGTTCTATGACTGACGACAAACACATACGTTCAAATAAAAGATTCCCAAATGAGTTTATCACTGCATGAGCATAACATTAACGCTATGAACAAACACAAAAAAAAATTCGATTTCTTGCGTTATAAATACTTAAGTGTATGTAGCATATCCCTGCTACATACACGTAAGTTTAAACTGGAAGTCGCAAAAGCAGCCCCTTAAAAGTTGCCCCCAAAAGTACAAAACTTACCTTCAGCAGCCGAACTTTGTCCTCCGCAGAGGGCATACCAGTGTTTTTGGTAATTGAAACAACAACAAACCTGCACAAGAGTCGGAAAAAGCCATGCAGGAACGAGTTCAAAATGTGGAATTGCTCACTACAACATGGAATAAATTTCTTGCTGATAGCCCCTGAACCTGCTTTCATCCTTTCATAATTGCTTCAGGCTCTCGGGCCTACTGTTGATGGTTCTTCCGAAAAAAATTTGAAACAAAGCTTTTCTCGGATGAAACATATTCAGGGCGTTGACCTTCAGTAGGTTCACACCGATGAAGCAGTTACTATGTCCAGGAAAAGCACTTGCTACTCAAAGCTTACCTCCGCTTGGTGGTACCTTGACTGCCACTTTTGAGTTTGTAGATGCTCGCCAGCCTACGCACCTGGCATCCAGAAAAACATATAGCATCAATTTACAAGAGTGCAATTTGATGAGAACTGTGGTTAATAAGCAGAAGCTGAACAATGTTTATTTTTGAATTCCTGGATAGAAAAAACCTTCAGCAATATTCTCCAGGTCCAGGATCTCCTAACTACTTACATTCCAATTTCAAATCGATTGAGATTCCCACGAAATCAGAAAAATATACTGCAGAAGATCAAGAATACAAAAGAAGAGAAAACTCGATGCACACCTGAGCACGATCACGCTGCTCCATGGGCGCAAAGGCTATGATGTCCTTTCTTTGCCTCACCATATCCTCCAACTCCTAATAATCAAATGCAAGGATTGTTAATTTGGTCACAATTTCTGTAACCCACTGTCGAAATCAACTCACTTTCTGGTATTTCTGCATGTACCAGGTTTTACAACATTTCTTGTTGCTTTCTGAAACCAATCTAAAATTACACCTTGTTCACAGCAGCCAGATCGAACCCTCGATTGATTGCCCGTTCCCTGCGCTTTGCTGATATAGTTTCCTGCCGGTCCTTCTTCTTTTGACCTGAAACAATGTGGATGAAAATGAGATTTAATCATGAGCCTGTCATAACCAAAATGCTCATACAGACTACACGTTCAGCCCTTTTCTTTCTAGGGGAATGCATTGTCCGTCTTACGAGTTTCCTAGATAGCTCTGATGGCCTTGAAGACAGCAATCTGATGATGTACAGAATAGATGCAGTATGAAACCAAAGTATTCTTTGTGAATATACTGAAACATCTACTCTTTACGGGGTTCTTTACTCAACACTTGACAGCAATCACCTGGTACTCCCTTCGTCTTCTTCAAAGATTTTCCTGTGCTCACAAACCACGTTTGGGTGGCTACAGAACTAGTAAGTTGAACATCTTCAACACGACCTGACACGAATCCTCCAACGGCCTTATATTTGGGTGTCATGTTACTCTTCGCAGACGCACTGGCATTGTCCTGAATTCCCAAGTCGAGGATACGAGCCTCATCATCCAGTTCAAGGTCACGAATCCGAACCTCGTCGTCCGATAATAACGCATCTTCTTTATCTTCGCCACTACCACTACTATCGGAGTCGTAGCCAAAGATTGCCTTCTGTTCCAAATCTTCAATCTCAACGTCTGAATCACCTTGAGATCTCTCCACATCACGCCTCTTTCTGATCACCTGTCGTCCATGGACACCAGCAGTTACCTCATACCGGTGCTTTATGTCATCTTCTAACTCACTTCCGCTAGCATCGCTAGCATCGGAGTCATTGTCTTCTTGGTCCAAGTCTAGCTCTTCAGAACTTCCGCTCTCTTCTTCCAGAATGTCCATCTCATCAATAAAGGGATACTCAAGTGACTTCTGGTTCCTGCTTACCCAGTTTGGGTCATCAATATCGGCACTTAGCCCTTCACAGTTGGCCAAGTAGTCATCCACCAACTCATTGCTGATGTCTGTATCGTATGAGTCAAGGCTATCATCACCATCAGAGGAGTCCAGCATGATAGCACTAAATCTCCTAGGATCAGGACTAGATAAATGTTTCTTCTTCGCAATCAGGTCCTTGTTTCTTTTCTTTCCCCGTTCAAACTTTCTAGAGCAACCAATGTCGCCATCATCCTCATCGGCAAAGCCCTCCATGTGATCTGTACAAGAACCTTCCTCGTCACTCATATCTGAAATATCACTGGTGTAGATTTTGAGCCCTCCTATGCTCAAAAATCCTCGTCTATCTTCGTCTTTCCTAGGCGTGTACCGCTTCGCGTGCACTAATGCTTTAGAAACAGAATTACGTCTTCCCTTCCTCGTCTTATTCGATTGACCGAGGCCTTTCCCATGACTAGCATACACCTGTAAAGGGTCTGACATTGCTTCAACGTTATGTTCATCCAACTCTTGAGCAGTCACTGTCTCCTTAGACATCTCTGCACTCTCCTCCTTGATAGTTACTACTGTTTCCTCTTGCACATATCCAAGACCCCAAGTCGGAAGTTCAGTAGCAGAATCGGAAATTACTGGATTGCCTACACTCCCACATCGATCTAAAACTACTTCGGCCCAATTTTCATTTCCGGGGAGAACTACTTCCGGATTTGCATCCATATCTGAAGAATGATTCTGCAGAAGAAAAGGAAAGGAACAGCTATCAGTTCAATGTTATAAAAGCAAAACAGCTCACTTTAAAAGAATTCGCCTGTTATTGCCTGACGACAACAGACACGTAGGTGACAGGTGCCAGTAGCTAAAGGACAAAGAGGGATAACCAATCAATATATAGTTCTTTCTTTCTTTCTTTCTTTCTTTATTTCTTTATTTCTTTATTTCTTTATTTATTAGAACCAGAATTTCAAGGAGGGTTCTAGACTGCCGAAAGAGGACCAGGAACTTTTCTCCTATCAGATACTTCGGCGAGTGTGCTTGGGTTCTCATGACCAAGAAATGTAGGTCAATTACAGCCCGTAATACACAATAATCGGTTGTGCACAAGGGTTGTTGAAATAGTACGAGCGAAGATAATTGAATCTTGCGAACGGCGTTCGGCTTGAAGGTCCGATCAGATAAGAGGTTCGGGTCATAAATCATCACATACTTCGGCAGTCCTTACCTCGTCGGCTTGTATGGTTTTCCCAACCTCTCCGTCCATATAGTTGTAGACAGTAGTATTGTATGTTTCTGTTCCAGATCTCCTCACTTTGTGATTCTTCCGTGGTGCAGGTTTCTTCTTTCTTTCGGACTCATCATTTACAGCCGCTGAATCACGAACTGCATCAATATGTGACTCGGTCCGCTGTCCTTTTTGACTTTTACGTTTTGCAGAGTGCGGTCTCAAGCCTGTCATGAAATGATGGCATAAATCAGATGTCGGCTAAGGGAAAAGCTTCGCCGGCTCTTTCGGAAGACAACAGAGGCTAGAATATAAGACTTTAAAGCAAAGAACGGTTGAGGAGCCAATGGTTACTTGACAAAGATGATTCCACACAATTATCACAAAGGAAATAACACGGAACTAAAGTTTCAAGTGTAGGTTAGACATGACAGATCCCCAGATATAAGTGCAATCTTTTGTAAAGGAAAACTAAAACTTGACTACTTATGTGTCCTCGAAAACTCATTACATATACTGCACATAACGAAGAAGGTCAACAAAGCATATAGAAGTGAGAGGAAGACACGAGTCAAGTATCCAACCACAGTTGGAGGGCAAAGTGCTTAAAGAGATACCGCACCTAATGACCGGTGTAAAGCAGAGCAAATTGAGCATAAGCAGAGAAGTTAAAAATGCTAGTAATAAAGCATGCCAACCTGTACTTAGAGGCCACGTAGAGGACCAGGCACTACATATGGCCCCACAAGATTCGTCCTTACAAATGCTGATAACACAAGCGTCTCGTGTATAAGCCTTGCATATAACACTCAATAAAAGAGCATAGGACATGTTCAAAACTATACAGATTCGTGGGATTGGCATGGAAGCCAAGAACAACCTCGTTCAACAAATTAGAATCGTGCTTTCGGATACTCCGAACATTTGATCAATAATAACAAACATTATGGTGCTAGATTTCTTATATGTTGTGAACAAAGAGAGATAAGAAAAACTATCGTCAAAAAACATCAGAAACGAGAACATATCTTTCACTAGAATGACTAAAATAGAAGAAGTCCTAGATTTTGAGCAGATTCCAAACTGTGATGAACTATTTAAAGGCTTATTACAAAAGGACAATGAAGCGAGGGCAGGAGAAGGCCGTGCGTCCTGAGCTGATTGAGGTCTCCGTGACAATTCTGAGAGACAAAAATTGGCAGGAACAAGACAGGACTTCACTTACCAAGCTGTTACTTTCCTCGGTATCTTCACTGCAAATTACAGCACCGCTACTTGTCTGTTGATTTTCAAGTTGGGTAAGAAGAGCTAGATGGAGCTTAAGAAACTGGCTTTCATCTCATCATTGACAGATCACGTCAACTGATCACTTCCCATCCACCATTATTCCTCCAAACAAATTGGGTGACGAACAAAGGAGAAAGAGACCAGCAAGTCAGTTGGCAAATCCATCTTAAGTTCGTGGCAACTTCATTGAGAAGTTCGGAATTCGTGGCACTCAAGAACTTTAGAAACCACTTCGAGGATTGTACATATTTTCAGGATGAAAGCAGCTCGAGTATAACACCTTCATCACTAACAAGACGTGTATTCTCACCATTTGGTGTTACATATCCTTCAGGCTGTCTTCATAATGGCTGCATAATGGTATAACGATACACAAGCTGCTAATGTCTTTCATAATTATGCATTACCAGCTTGTAATTGCCGAAACGGATACCCTTTAGAGGTACTTACTCATCATATTCGAGATTTCGGCCTGATATACTGGTTCTGATTGTACAAGTTCGTCGTATCTCCTTGCATATTTGACCTGGAAAGACTTCCCACGCTTCTTTCCTCCTCCGGCAAGTGTAGCTCCCACACCTTCCAACGTACTTTCTCGAATCTCCTCGTCATCAAAAATCTGAAGAGAAGACTTTCCACCGCGATTGCCTCCTCTACCATGTAATCGACCCTCTTCCTTCGTGAAATTCTTCACAAATGGAATGCAATTCTTTTTCTGCTTTCCTCGAGTCATCGATAATTCGTTTGCCCCCACGGTGGTCGCACTTGTGTTTCCTGAGTACAGAAGCAGTGTGAGCACCGGATTTCGGCGTCAAGCGCAGTAGATCACGTCCAACAATAGCTAAACCCTGAACTAATCGTTCACAATTGTTGTCGCAATCAGGAAAGCAGCTCTTCGCTGCCGAACCTTGCGCTACTATACTTTTCTCAGAAGATAAATGTTGTAAGAAGAACCAACTCGGATTCTACTCCAAACCAAACTGCTCCCACAGTTCTCGAGTCTGAGAGCGGGATTGACAGCAAAACCTACACAATCTACTGACCATCTCGTAAGCACAAAGCGTCTCACCTGCCAATGCAGAAGTTCGACCACTTATGAAATCCAGAGAAATGCCCAAACGATACTTGGCGCTCGTTGAAGCGATATGAATTGTTGTCAATCAGGCGCTACCATGGGACTGGAATTTCACTTTAACTCCAGAGACAACGCTGGGATCCCCGAACGATGTCAGCACTTCACAACCTGAAAAGACGAACGAATCGAGCCAAAGAACGAGGGCAGCGTAGATGCGAATCTCCGCGGAAAATTCGAAACATATTCACGGAATTTGCAAAGTTCATGATCGCAGACTCGTCGAGAATTGACAGGCGTCGCTCAGACCAGGTCTTCTATTCTACCAAATGCGGTCAGCTCCCTAAAGCTCGTGCCGCGATGGAAGCTCCTGGTGGAAATAAGGGAAGCAACGATTGAGTCACTCCATGATCCGTAACCTGACGTGGATTTGGGGTGACATTATGTGGCATCAGTCATCATGTGCTGAACGGAGTACATTTCAGGTCGATACCAAGAAGACTCCGAGAGTTGCAGTGACGTGTACTGAGGAGGGATGACATGGCGTGTCCAAAGCACTGCAGCCGGACGGACTCCGTTGGTGACGCGGTGCGTACGTGGACTACCAACACGTCTATGTGGACGTGAGAATGTGGATTCACCCGGTGTGCGAGCTTGACATGGCACACTCCTCGGATGGACAGCGCCGCGGTACGTGAGTGAGGTTGTGAAGAAGGAGGCATCGTCGTGTCCTCTGGAGATCACCGTTGGCGTGCGATCTACGTTTCGTCTTTGTGCTGAGAGTTGCTTTCAGCCTCTTCTGGTTCTATTCAAGACCTTTTTCTGTTCACACGAGAACGGTTGCTGGACGGAAGAACTGGTGGCATGGATTCCATACTTCCGTCTTTCGTCATGCTCTTCCTCTTGCGAACACCCACTGACATGTCTCGGATGGCGAGACCGCAAGTGTCCACAAATGAACCTACTCAGTTCTCATTCTATGTACGTAAACTTCAATATGGAAGAGACAATGAAATTGTGAATGAAATTCTGTTAGCACTGCATCTTCAAATGTTGCTTATCCGTCAAGATAACTACTTTTTCAATGTTACCTATGAGAAAAAGATAAAATTATTAATTTGTGATGTGGATCTTCATAAAACAAGGATTAGAGTTCATAAATTAAACTACTTCTATACAAAGTTCAAGGATTGCCCATCAATATTGTTGGAAAAATGAGAAAAAACCATCAAAATGTACATGGATGAAGTCAAACTAGTAGTGACTTAGAGGCTAGTAACTAGTGAGTCATGTTTTATTGATTCTAAGATATAATTTCTTTCTACCTACTCAATTTCTAAGTCAAATCATTTACAGATGTCACATACCGTATTGTTGCATAATGTGTAGCACTAGCTACTGCTATTTGTAACATGATGAGATTAATTTGATAAAATAATTTATAGAATATGCAAAAACACAAATATTCCCTGTCTCATAGTAATGTTGCGTCAAATTACAAACGGACAGACATTCACACGAGAGAACAATGGATATGTGGTTTTCCTTGTAGCTATGTCCACGAAAACAGTCAAAGATTTTACTCAGAACGTTTTCTGCTATACTACTTAACGCGACGAAGAGACTTATCGCGTTAAGTGGTGTAGCAGAGAAAACAATGAACAGTCCAATTCAGTGAAAACCATAAAACTGACTGATTTTATACTTTGAACCCACCGTTCAAAGTATAAAGTGCGTCAACGACGCACCGTCGCTTACTAATGTTACACATAACAATCTTCTCCCTAACACATGTGGGTTAACAACAACCTCCTTAGAATATACTTTGTGGGGAAGTCATAGAAGAAAACCTAAGAAAAATATCTAACTAAAATATCTAAAACCTAAGAAAAATATGTGGTGGCCAAAACAAGATAAAGTAAAAATTTGTAGAGATAACTGAAAATTGCTAATAAATGGTACTTGTGCTCTTCATGGTAATAGCACAATGTCTCTTAAAACTCTTTTAAATTAATAACTTGGGTCAACATATATATATACGAGCGTTTCCAAAGAATATCAAGTGTTCACGAACGCTCTCATATGCAAACCAGATCTCAGGTGAATCAATATTGGAAGTTCTACTACCAAGCAAAATTGAAATGTAGCGAGTCGGAGTAAAAACTAGTTCACGCACTTAAACACTCTTACATCAACTCTTGCATCAAATTAAAAGAAGAGAGACATTCACCTTAGATAGCAAAAGGATACATGTTTTGTCTTGTAGACTACGTCCACAAAAACACTCAAAGATTTAACTGAGAATGTTCAGCGCGACAAGTTTGCTCCTTGAGCTAAGTAGTTTAGCTGAGAAACAATCAACAATTCAGTTTAGTCAAAAGATTAATGTTGATCCATCAACAATGAACCGTCTCCAACATATATAAAATGTTGTCAAACAAACTCAATGTAGATGACTTCGTATAATTCAAGAGCACAAAATCAAATTTTTGTTTTTTTATAGCTCTATAGTTTTACATATTTACGTTTTTTTGTAATAAATTTTATATAAAATATAAGTGATATTCATGTGCGTATATTTTTGAGAATAATCATATCAACTAAGTATACAAGAAATATGCAACATTGTTCAAATCTTTTACGTGAAATTTTTTTGATTTTTTTTTCACACATATTTATATATTAAATGTTTTACTTTTATAAAACAAGATAACATATCTCCAATGACAATAATTTTTCATGATAACATAAAAATATTTAAACTTGAAATATATATTTTTTAATTCAAAATTGACTATACAAATAACTTTGTTATACATAAAGTTATTTGAAATCATAAAATTATATTTATTTTCTTATTATCTTCTCACTACATGTATTTATTATTTATATATTAAATTTTAAATCAAATGATAAACGATAATTTCTCATAGATATTACATTATATCAGATTTGATTATTACATTTAATGCTATATGAATAACATAGATAATACATAAAAATTAGTAATCATATATCATATACCAAAAAAAAAATCATCGATCGTTTTGGATGTATCCAGAAAAAAATTAAGGTTTGAACCTTACGATATAAAAAGAATTTAAGAGACTGATTTAAAATCTCAATTATGTATCTAAGTTGGATATTTAAAAATTTAGGCACAAATCACAACTAAAATTTAATTTAATTTCAGTATAAAATTTTAAAAATATTGATTTTATTATGAGTATCATTTTTATATAAAAAGGAAAGAAAAAACCAATAATAATAATAATTTTAAATATTAAAATTAATTAAAATAATCATAGTTTACTCCATCGAATTTAAATAATACATCATAGGCTATGAGATAAAAAAACATTATGTATAAGAAGCAAACTAACAGAAAGAACCTGATAGTTCTAATTTTATATTTTTAAACATCATGTGTGAATATTTTTTGATGTTTCTGAACTCACTTTTTTATTTTTATTTTTGAATATATGAAAATCAAACATAATTTCCAATCATCAATATTTTTTTAACTATTTAGAATTGAATCATAATATTTTAGAAAATATCATTGAAAAAAAATTATATTGAATTTTTCAAGCTATATTTTAAACTTCATACATACTGAATTTTTTAATGATTATTTCATAATGACACAAATATATTTATTTTTTCATTTTGAACTGGTTTCTAAGAACATATATGCCTTACAAATCATTCATTTTTTATCCGAATCTATAAAAGGAAATCATTATTTCTAAGACGAATATCCATATCAATAATAAAAGTAATAGATCAAGTGATTACACATTTTGAACCTAAATCAAATAATTGTGATATTCATATCACTACAACAAGTTTCATAATTCATATTCAGCAAAATCAAAGGTAAGGTTGTACATCATATCAATGTACATTTGTTTATTAGGGTGAATAAAACAAAAGAAGGTACTCAATACTCTTTAGAAGTCGCACAAATATTATCAACAGTCAATGTAATTTAAACTGCAGATTCTATTATTTTATCAAGCATTTTGGGCAGTGAAGTTATATTCTCATCATAAACAACCTTTACGTTAATCATGAAAAGTACTTATGTTACTTTCCATTTTTAAGTATAATTTCTAATGATCTGTGTTGCAAGTGTAAATCTTAAATTTGATATTTTTATAATACACATAATTTTATTTGATAGAATGACTAAATAATTTCATGAAAATGAGAAATAAAGATAAAATGATGTATTTGATTTCAAAAGATGATAAGCTCTCTAGGAGTTATTGTATAAAACGATATATATACATAAATTTACTATAAGATTCTTTTTACTATACTTAAGTTCATAGTTCAATATTTGTTCATTTACAATGTGAATCTATTGCTTCGTTTATTTATGACAGTCTGCGTTAAGTATCAAATTTGCCGAATTTTCTAGCCTTTGTAGCGTTTTCGTTTAGTCCATGCTGTAAGATTGTCATTAATAAAAACACATTACTTACAGACATTATGTTTGACGTCAAATCAATCACAATTACAAACGTTATTAATCGAAACATGCATTGTATGATACATCTTGATGAGTCGTACTTTGAATGGTGCACACTTTTCTCTCCGAAACTTAGTTCATTGGTAATTGAAATTTACGCAACTTGAGAATACTGTTATACTATATAAGCTTTAAGGATACAATAATGATAGCAGTGACGCGCAGTCAGGTATGACAGGGATTGTGTTTGTGAAGTACTGACGCGCAGTGCAGTCGTACAAGGTGCACCTGATGTTCAGTCGGAAGGTGAGACATAAAATTAGTGGTAGATTGTGACGTGGAGCAGTACTATTTCGATAGTGTTTATCTTAAGCACGAGAATGGTGCGAATTGCATTCGTCCAAATCGCCGATTCATGCTGCAAGTGATCCACTATGCAGTGTGCACTTCCTTTCGGTCATGACACTATCGAGGAGTTAACGATTACAATTGACTACCCTTCTTACTTCGGCGCGGCAGATAACGTCAACGACGTTGGCCGCGCCAAACAGTAAGTATTTTTCTATCCACGGCAAAATTTGCCTCTCGAGACAGCATAGCAAGGTCCTGTAAAGCCCGGGAAGTAATCGCCTTTCTTTCTGTTTCGGTGATAACTTCTGATGTAGCACCCATTCTTGCCGAGGCCGTCTACTTAGAGTTTAGACAACACAGAAGCCTGTGTTTTTCTGCAACATACGTGCAAGTTATTTAAGTGGAAGGCGGACGCTAAGTGGTCTTCAGCGTTTTTCGTATTGAATTTATTTCCTCAGGTCATGGGGCACGTAGTGCTAACACAGGGATGAGACCAGACTGATAATACTCCATGACCATGATTGTGGGATGACTATGTGGTCTCAAAGGTTCTGCGATGGAACATACTGTTCCACAAATGTGTCGTCGTAATCTGTCTACAATTATTTTATGGTAATAACCTTAAGTCAGCGTTTTTGGCGGCTAATACTGGATACAAGGGAAAGAAACGTGCACGAGACAATAAGTATGACAGTTCAAAAGGTTGATCGACTTCCTCAAAACGTAGAAAATAAAAGTTCCGCTAAGGGACCGTTACTCCAGCAGCTTATACAGTCAGAAATCGTGACTTTCACTTCTCACCTTGAGATAATCTTCTGAGCTTGCAGTTCTTGCTTCTCCAGCACAATTACATAAAGAAGGTTACCTGACGTCGGGCTCAGCTGCTTCTATATAAATTGATATATAAAAATGCTTGAATCGACAGCACACACCATGCTTTCACAATGGAAAGCATGAGATGAGTCGGTGTGCGCACAGAATTTCGACTTCGCTCACGTGAGAAGGCGGGTTTTTATTTTCACTGGCAACAATGCACAAACCAAACGGGCCAGCAGGCCAGCACACAAACAAAAAAGAAATGACCTCCACAGCTCATCTGAATTTTGTCTAGTAATTTATATGTGTACACAGCATCAAAGAGCGACAGCAATCAACAACTGACCACTTGTTGTTGGTAACAATGTTTGGAGGAACTCAACAACATGTCAATCCTCAAAAATGTTCTATACATAATTCCTAAAAAAGTCGAACTTACCATTCTTTAGCTTTTAAAACCAAACCTTGACCTAGCTGCAGACTATTGTGCATATCTTCTGGTCCACTCGGCAGCTGTCTTGTCATGGGCTGTGCGGTCTGTCAAATACTGTTGTGCAATGCTGCCGACCAAAGGGTCATCTGTAACAAGAGTTCACTTGTCAGATACACATGGATTCGGTAATTTAAAAGCCCCAATACTGAAAACATTCAAATAGAACATATCAACAATAATGTACAAGACTAGTGGATTCCATTATTTCTCAGAAGTATGATTCTTAGAAAGCTTTCTGTTGAATGAACTCAGTACCGACTCAAACTTGCAGACGATGTTACCTCCTTACGGTCCGAGCTAGTCTAAATAAAAAGATCAGGCTTCAGTCTCATTTGATTTACTGTAACTGGAACACTCACTCATCGGTGTTGTCCATGGCATATTCACTTCAAATCATCTCCCTTTGAATTTCCTTGTCATTAAACATCACATAAGGTTTAAAATGAAGCACTTACGAGGATTGGCATCTGTCAAGAGTGAGCAGATGGACAAAAGGACCTTGGAAATCGTGAGCGCAGGACTCCAGTTGTCTTTAAGAATGTCTAAACATATCTGCCCGCTGGTGTTGATGTTACAGTGATAGATTCTTGTTCTGAACATCACCTGATCCAAACATGATCAACCCTCAGCACTTTGAATCCTCAACACAATTATATAACAAAAACATCAAAAGAAACTACACATTAAAATTACGTTGGATGAGTCCAATTTCTCCTGCATCTCCAACATAATTGGCATGGCCCTGGTACTTTACCTTTGGAGGTTTGAATGGATAATCGACAGGAAAATTGATATCTAGGAAAAAGACACCACCCTGGTATGGCGATCCTGCAAAAAAGAGTTCAATCCCATGGATGACAGATTATCCACCATCCGCTTTCGGCCAAAACAGCCTCTGTATAGTCACGATCACCAGATTTTCTTGGACAGAACAGAAAATCACCAAGTTTATCCTTAAAATGACTTACGTAAAGGCAACGACAAAGCTTCTAGACAACAGTCCCACTAAAATTCGATCGTATGTAAAGAAATTAATGCATTACTTCAATATATATTTTAAACTTACATGAGAGAGTTAACTATCTGGGGTATCGAATAATAGGTGTATATTCTTGCGAAGATAAGTTTCAATCCCGGACCAAAGCTAGAGTCTGTTAGACACGCCATTCCTCTACGAGGGTATACATCACTTCCATACTACGAAATGCCCGCAAAGATCCAAATAAACAGAAGATGACTCTAGGTCTGATCTACCTCTTCCCCTTAAAGATGGCATCGTTGAATACACACAGGAGTAACTGAAACAGCATCTAAACACTGACGAAGCACCGGGGACAACAGCTAGTGGTGAAACTATGTCTCAATATCTTGAACATTACATGATATTTAGTTATTAACGCAACAACGATTTCATGCGTATCCGAGGCGATTCAATTCAAGTGCTGAAAACTGAAAACGACATAGTTGGCTGATAGTGCCAACTGAGGTGACGGAACAGTATCAAGGTGAATGGTGATCTTTTTCTGGTAAGTTACTTAATTCTTTTTTCCACGCAGTCAAGAAAAAAAGGCCAAGATCACCTTCAGGCGAGTCCTCTTAAAGAAGAGGGGAAAACAAGCATCGCCTTAGGCGTGTGCTACTGAAAACAAATGGAGTATGTGCGAAAGATGGATATTGATGATGACCTAACTGATTGCAAATATGTAGAATGGAACCACGCAGATGTCAAGAAGAAGAGAAACAGAATCAGGATGCCACACCTGCAGGGCCCATAATAGTAGAGACCCATTCATAGAGGTTATCGCCTTTGGGACCAGCAGAGCAATTTGACGGCGGGTCCAGGGAAATCTCGGCCAACTCTTTCTGGATACGCTTGGCCGATGTATTGAGAGATGCGTTGGACGACCAAGCCCGACCCCCAACCCCACTACTCGCCGCCGCACTGGCACTCATTTCTATTGTCTTCTCCCTTCCTCACACCTCTCCCCTCCAATACCCCGCCTCACTCCAGTCCGATGAAGCTCTCTGCCTGTCTTGAATCAAATATCGTGCTTCCGCTCGGTACCCGAGGCCTGCTCTTCAGTCTTCTTGCACTGCCTACCCTTTGAATCGATCATGGAACCAGAAAGAGAACTTCAACCTCACCGAAGACCGAATCGCCCCACCTGACAGAACTTTCTCCTCCTTCTCTCTTCCGACCTGCTCGACACTCCAACACCACCTGACCCGGCCCCGTCCTCCCCTCCTCCTCCTCCTCCCCGCCTCTGCGCAATAATTCCAGACAGGTCGACCTATAAATGTGCTCACTGGAGAAGATGTGAGCGCGTCCGTGACGAGACCGCAGCTCGCTTGCTCGGTACAAGTAATTCTGTAGAGGAGCCCGATCTCCCTCCCTCCATCCCTCCCTCGCTCCCTCCCGCTCTGTCCTCCTCCTCCTCCTCCTTCTCCTCCAATTGTTTCCTGCGAGGGAGGAAACCTCCGAAGCTCCTCTAGTTAGAGCAGAGCCTAATTAATGGCTCTGCTTTCTCAGGCAGCGGGGGAAGAGAGAGAAAGACAGAGCGAGCGAGCACCAGCACCAGCAGTCAGGACAGAGGTCTCGCATGGGCCGCGCCGACGTGTCGCCAATGGCGTGCCGGGAGGCTGCGGGCCGTCACGTGGCGCGGGGCGATTGGGCCAGCTGCGGCGAGTGTAAGACGGGTTTGACGAACAGGAGAGAAACTGATGGGGTCGAGGAGAAGTTTGTTGCGTGCTGTTGTTCAACTTGTCGTTTGCCTCTATCCACTAGCGCACTCGCTGCTGCTGCTGCTGCTGCTCTATTCTCTCCTCTGCCGTGCCTTGCCTCCCTTCCCTTTTCCTCCTTCCTCCTTCCTCCTCGGCCGACGCCCACTCTCGCTGCACTGCAGCGCAGAGTGGGCTCAGCTCTCTTATGTCACTCATGTGCTGGGCAAGTGGGGCCGCCTGCGCGGTGGGGGGCCCTCTTGCTCTTTCTTTTGGGATTTCTTTTCGCATGTCCTTAGCTTATGAGTCGAAAAGAGGCATCAGGTATCTGATCTAAGGCAAGTCATCCGTAGCCCCGAAACATTCCAAACATTTGCTGTCAAGGATCACTGACTTACGACTTACCCTTTTGAACCACGATAGTCGATGTCCCATTGGACGAGCTGAGCTGAGGAATCGAGCAGAACTTTCGTGGCCAGTTTTGGCCTGGTGTTTGAATGTATGAATGGGAGGGAGGGAGGGAGGGAGGGTCGACTAATGATGACTGGGGAGGTGATGTGGTCGCTGCATTTTAGGAGACATCCATATCCCAGGGCGGGCATCCTGCATCAGTTCTGTTGTACATGGCGAGAACACTGTTCGGCTCAACAAACTGACTCCAATCGGCAAAGATCTTCTGGGCGCTGAGACTTCCCCTTTTGATGGGTCGTCGTTCTTCAACAAGCGTCCGTTTGACTTTCACAGTGTGTATGCAAATACGCACTTCCGCTGCTGAGGATCGGGATTGATCGCTAATTCTGCGCAACGTGAGTCCATGCATGCAATCATTGTCTCATCTGTTACCTGATCAAACAACGTTGCCCAAATCACAATTCCATATGTAATATCCATTCGCCATTAGCTCGATCAACTGGATTCTGTGCTTCTTGTACTGTTATCGGGTTAACAAACCAGATGAGTTACCACCCATCATGCCCTGATCCATAAGCATGCTTATCCACCTCTCTGCACATGAAACCCTCATCGAGCAGATCGACCAAGACTAACTTTGACTCAGATTCATTCAGTAGCCACATGGAGGATAGATTCTCAATCTAATGCTCGTACCGTTCTCGGATTTGCCACGGTCGGTGTCAATCATCCTACGCTGACTCCGATCAGGAATTGGCGAGCCGTTCTTATGCTCCAAAAGTCTGACTCTGCTTGGAATGAAGTGCTCCGTCGGGAGCCATGGCCCGATAATACTGAACTATGTTCCAGCGTTGGAGACATTGTGCTAGGCGAATCACAGTACATGAATCTGGAGGATTTCGGGACAACAAAGAAGGAGGTTGTGAAAACCAGAGTGCTGGAGAGCGTCTGCATCGAGGACCTGAGCTCGTTCAGCACTTTCGTGGTGTTGCACGGGTGGATCCTCCGTCGTTGAGTGACGAAGAAGCTTGCTGGCATATAGAAGGTAGTAGTGCAACAGTAGGAGTTGCTGTGCAAGACAGAAATCCATGGCGTTTTGTTGTATTCTAAGTTGGTGATATTTGCTTAAACAAACAAGGGGACAGTCACCTAGTTTTGGAAAGATGGATTCAGTACCCTGACCTGACCACAGCTTACCTCATGCATCCGTTCTCTGAACCCAAGAAAAACATCACACCCAAGGGTGTAGTATTTTGTGGATGAAACTTGCACGCTTCTGTCTCCGATTTCGCTCGTTGCGGACGAATTCCATGCCGAAAGTTTAATGAACAGTCGCCGAATGCTTCGGCGACTGTTCTTCCTTTTCTTTTGTAGATACTCATCCCAGACTTGTTCAGAGATATTAATTTGACCTCTGAGGCAGCGGGTGTACTCTAAGGCAAGATTCAAGAGAATGAAGTACGCAGATGGGATCTGAGAAAATTTGTCTTTGTCTTTGCTTCTATATGAATGCATCGAGAATACTTTCTCAAGCCCACCATGGCTTCTATCTCTTTCATAATTAGACGATTGGAAAAAGTTTCAACATGGAATCTATGCCCCGCGAACCAAGTTCTCTTGATGCCTGTTAGATTTTTATACGCTTTTCGTTGAATGGCAAGTTCATTAGCAGTACAATTGAGCAAAAATGTACAGAAAGCAAGTTTTGAAGGACCACATGCTTGCTCCGGATTTCGATCAGGGTCACAAGTTTACTTCCTACGCAACATCCAGATTTGTCTGATGAATCTAGTAACATGATCGGCACCATACATCGGGCCAAGCAGGCATGCTTACTTCCGAACATTTTAATGATAGAATTGCTGTCCCCGAGCATTTACCCACTGTCTGACAGAACATTGTAGTGGGAAAATCTGATCCAGACGTTCTCCTGTGAGCTCTGTCATGCATCTGCTGTCTTGAGCAACATCATCAATTAGTCAACACGGAGGAGGCAGAAACTCCCAGTGCGACTCAAGAGACGGATGGAGGAAGCGCAGAGAATCGTTAGGAAAGGAGGACCCCAAATCCCTTCCAAAGATATGCTCCTTCAACGACAACCTACTCTACAGATCCCATAGGATTCGTACAATGGTTGAATACAGTATGCGTATGACTAGACCACTACTGCTACTACAGACTTATCTTCAGCGCAGCGTGATTCCAAAAGCTCTGATGTTACTCATCACTCTCTACTTAAGCTAGCAGCCTGTCAGGAACGCTCGCACTCTCCGTTTATGACACCCACCAACTCCTGTCAGTGGATTTGTGGTTTGCATGGACTAGAATAACCTGGATGCAGAAAGCTGTGTCTCATTTGAACCCTAACTTACTCACCAGCTGATCATTGTATTTCACATCCCCCATCGACAGCATAGTTTAAGACGTTGGACGTTCACCACAGCATTCCCATCAGGATCGTTGGACTTCCCAACCTTCCCAGGGCAACCTCTACTCCAATCTGTGGAACACATATTGACCATTATGAGACGTCGGGATCCATGATCAGGTCTACTGTAGATATTTAGAAGTTTGACTCCCAGAGTTGCAATGGTGTCGTTGTGCTCGAGTGCAAACCCACGGCGAGTTTTCACGGGCTGGCCAATGTCCGCTTGCAAGATGGGGAACATGTTTTCACAAAAGTTGACTTCAACCAATGTTCTGCCTTAAAAATGTTCTTAATCAGGCTACAGCGCAGTATAAGTCGAAGCCCTCCGAGCAAGTTGACTTGTAGTACTGAACTTTTTCTGAAACTCCTTAGTCCGTTGCAATCATGAGCTGAAAACGTAGTCCCCAAGCTTATGTGAATGTGTACGGGTGTTGCACAGACACTTAGACAGCATCGAGAAAAGTGAGAGGCGAACGCGCTTGGTTTCAGCTAAAAGATGACTCACGTAAAGGATAGCTCGCCAACCTCCTATGATGTCCAAATGAGCAAAGATGCTCCGAAATCCATTCGAAGGTTTCCACCTCCTCAATCTGACTACTTTCCAGTATCTGCGTTCGCCGTCTTCGCGCTGTGCTCTCAGATCTTTGATTTACAATTTCTGAACATATTCACTTTTCAAGATTAAATTACGTGAAGAGAATCCGAACATGCCCTTTCCGGAGCTCACATGCAAGAGACAACGCTTCATGTGCACACGCGCATATCAAGCGAGCCTACGGATCGACTTAACACTTACCAGGGCGTCCACGATGTAGGTTTGACAATCATTTCACCGACAATAACAACAGCGGACAGCTTACTTGGCTGTCAGGATCACAGATCCTGAGAAAAAAGTAAAGCTTAGAATACTGTGTTCGAAGATTGAATGTTGCGTTCCACCGAAGTGGTCTATACTAGGGGTGTCAGCTGCTCACTTCGCCAGGCATGGTCTTTGGCCGTAAGGAAATGCGTTTATGCAACGCCCTCATCCACACAACCCTAAACTCGCGGATTCTGTTCTTTAGTTTCCGCAGCGAAATTGTTAGTCAACTGCGTCCTCCATCAGCTCAGATCCCTCGACTCCATGCCGCTCACATGACAAAATCAACATTCCTAACATGCATCAAAATTCTCCGCATCAGCAGACGGGACAGATGTTAAACTGTGTGGAATCGACATACACCAAACCAAACCATATGACAACGAATGATCGCGGAAAATACCAGCTTGTCTAAAGCACGCGAGTTTGATTCAAAATGAGAGTTAGGGAAAAGAATAAGATACTGCATTTTGTCAAATTTTCGATTTTTTCTGAGTTTACCTGGAATACATGTCCAATAAAGTTATATATACTTAATCTTGTAATCGGTACGAGGTAGAATAAAATACATGGTGGCTACCAATGATCCTAATCTAGCTCCTGTTATTTCTTATAGATCGGATCCTATCCTAGTGACCCTCAAGAAGAGTTGAAGAGTATGAAACATGACAATATCAAGATTAACTAGGTATGTATGACACTTTCTACAAGTTTTCATGAAAGCTGACTTGTATACCCTCCTAAGTACATTTTATGTCAATTACTTTGATTTGATAAAACTAAAGACTTACATGGATAAAATAAATTGTGTTTGTCAAAACATTGTTCTCTTGCAAATCATCCAAGTGATGATCTTATGAATTAAAGCAATTTACCTTTAGAAAGTGATTAATACTAAACCAATTCTATTCAAGTGTGAGAAGTTCAAAAGAGTATAACTCTATGTTGTTACTTTGTTGACTTGTTAAAAATTTGCTTCGAGTTCATTGATAATTTCATCATCCTGCGTATTTTAAGTCATCATCAAACTTATATATGTGAGTTTTCATTTTCACCTGCATGTTCTAGATACTCATACTTTGTATTAAAATCATATGGCATTTAATTTTTTACTTTAACATACATATTATGAAGTAGTTATTAACATTTAATCTGACATATGTATTAGAATGTTCACTTGATATATATACATCAAGATGCATTATAGTTTCGTACAAGTCAAATTTTATTGTGTTGTCATTCTTGAAAATTAAAATTTGAAAAAGCGAACAGCTTGGGCAAACAAAAAGCATATGTGCATGCTCGCAGTACCTAAATCGTTAAGCCGGATCCGCAATTATTTATGACATAAGTGAAAAGTGGATATACTAGTAATTTCATTCAAAACTATATCGCTGGCCGGGCAGTGTCAAACAGGGCCGTAAGATAACCAATAAAGGGAAATAAACTCCTATGAACAAATTGAGACCAGCCCTACAAATATGAAAATATTACATACAAATGAATTCTTTTCTGAAAACATCAGGATAAGTATAATAATTCCAAAATTTTGATAGTAATCAAGCTTTCTATCAGTAAAACACTTTACACAGTTCCAGAGAACACTGTTATGATAAATTGAAGCAAAGAGAATACATAAGAGAAGCTTATGATGAGCAAGAGACTACAAAGAATAAAAGCAATTGGCCCACCCATGAGGTTGCCTGAATCTAATCCGAAGATTAAAAGTAGATCGTACATAGAATAGGTCCTTTTCCCGTTGATCAATCAAAATGCCTTCCGCCAAGTCGAATTCAAGCACATAAAAAACAGTACTTATGTATTTACTTATATTCATTTTACCGTTGATTGGAGGTTTTGCGGCAGGGTTTTTTGGTCGTTCTCTTGGTTCAAGGGAAATGGATGCAGTCACAACCACGTGAATTCATTATCTTCTACTTTCTCTCGTATTGCATTTTATAAAGACGCGCTGTGTGCCAGTGCTTGTGGCGTATAAGATGATTGCCATTCAGCTAAATTCTTTAGTAATCTATTCACGATCTTATATTATTCCCCCATCACTTGGCTGCGATGCCAGAGAACTTTTCAAATGATAACTATAGTCACTTTAAAATATATAATCTACATAGATGAACAAACTCATACAGATGTCAATATTCTTGATATGCTATAAACTGATCACTCCCTACTCGTGAATGTTTAAGATTATTATATACAAGACAAAACACAATATCTAACATGCATTTACTATTTTTAATATCATTACTCAACAACATTTTCCTCTGCTTCTGACGAAATGACTCTAAATCAACGAAGCTTTTAACAATTTTTTTTTAAAAAACCTCTATGTTTCAATAAATACCATAAGTAGTATTGTAAAATATATGGAAAAGAATGAAATTTTTATTTTCTTGATTCAAATTTTGATGATACATTTAAAATATATAATTCATTACATGCATTCAAGATGAAATGGATCGAGAAATTATTGTACAACAAAAAAATCAGATTTTATGTAAAATTCAATATTTTATCAAGAACTTAGTCTACTCATATTCCTTTTACTGAAATTCATGATTAGTTTTCATTGGTAGATCCTTTAAATTTGAAGTAGGTACTTCAATAATTTAAATGATATCAAAAAGAGAAAATTAACTTATGATAAAAAAAATCAATATTGATTTTTTCTAGAAAAACTTAGATTATATGGTATCAACTCATGAATTTCTGCTAAAAAAAAAAAGAAATTGGTGTTTTAAGTATGAATGAAGTGTCTAGGCAACAAAATTATCAAAAAATGTAATTTGAGCTTCATCATATCATGCTTTTAAGAGTTCAACTTAAATGAACGAACAAAGTTCCCTTTACAAATTTTACATCTTGCTCTAAGTATTCTTGTGACACAGCAAAATGCAGTAGACATACCATTAGTACTGTATTTGAAGTATATGTTCTTGCTTGAGCACAACTAGGTAACTAATGAAAACTACATAATTGTAGCATCTTCGAGATTTTATATAGAAGCATTTTAGATTTTATTCTAAATTAATGAAATTTTAAATTTAGAACTGAACAATCCTTATGCAAATCATCATTTTGTGTAATTATAACAAGGTTTAAACTAAAAAGTAACTTATGCTGATTATAGTAATATAATAAATAATTATTATGTATACAAAACTTTGTGCAACTGATTTACGATGCCTTCATGTCGCACTATGTCATCTATCATAGTTGACAATGCACCTTCCAAACCGCCTACCAAACCACCTGAAATGTGCAAGGTAGATACAAGTTCGTTCAGCTGAACATTTCACTATAATTTAATACGATTGTAATAACAATTTTACTATCTAGCATTCAGTTGCATAATTTAGTACGTTTATGGCTTCTTTGCTCCCACAGGATTTATGTTTTCTGCCTTCAATGGGCCTGTGTAACTCCCTTTTCTAACCTGCATCATGTTGCTCTTCAGGTGCTGAGCAGAATAACCACGAGGAGTGATTCCTAGATTCTGATTTGTAGTATTAAGTAAATCCACATGAATGTATCGTAGCAATCATTCAGTCTCTTAAGCCATATCACTGATTTGTGGGAAAGAAAATAGTAAAATGCATGTATTGATCTTTTTGTAACCACATAAAAACGAGCAACATAGCAAATACCCGAGTAGAGAAAGTGTTCTGAGATTTTGCGTTGTATTATTTGTTGTGTAGTATTTTGGCTTTTGTAATAACTCCTTACGGTTAAGTCTCTTAAAAGATTGTCATTCACGTATGTGTCATTCTGTATCATTACCATTGCCAAACTAATGTCTTTTGTTTCACTTGTTCTTTTGAACAACTTTATTGCTGCTCAAAATGGTACGGTATAATGATCTTCATCTTACTTATATAAAACTGCTAACCCAATTTCGGATATTGAATCTCATGTCCTAGTTAAATAAGCAATGAAGACAAGTTGGTTCTATGGAAGAACTAATTGGTCAGTATTGTTTTCTATGACCTACTGTTGTTGTTTAGAATTCATTCACTTTTAAGAGCGTTTGTAAGAGAGAAGAAATGTAGTGAGGATTGCAGGAGGAGGTTGAGGCAATCCTCTCTGATATTGGACGCTCCTTCATTTCTGTCCTGCTCTCGTCATGCCCCACGGAATCCATCTGCACAACACACTGGAAAAGTTTTTCCACGTGCATGAATGTGTAAGTGTGTGACTTCGCCCCTTTTCAGGGCGTCCCGACATTTCGCTCGCACCCCTCTACCAACGTGCAGACGATCACCTATGAGAATGAAAACCAATCTTTTTGACCCGGCTCAAACGTTCTAGTGACCAGAGAACCTTGAGAGCTGTTTCTCAAATAAGCTGCTCCAGGCCCAGAATAACAATTTGAGTAATGTTTTTTCAGGGAAAAGATTTCGGACTGGCTGCTGAGTATAGTATCGTTAAGGGGCTAGTACGATGTGCATTTATGATTTTCATTCTAAAGTACTCTTCAACATGTATGTTGAAGAGTATTTTAGGATTTAATCATGGGTTCGGCTTGTTCCAATGAAGAAATGTTGTTTCAGTATATATTATCGCCTCTATAAGGGATATCGGATATGGATACAATGGACTGGTCTTTCTCCGACATATTCTCAGTAATATGAGCTTGCCGTTACTGTTCACGAGGATGATGTAAGGATATATAGCCAGAACATGTGGAACAGAAGCGAATTGCCTGGTAGTTTGACTCATCTCATCCCAGACAAGTGTCAATTTAAATTCTCACCAGTCGCAGTTTACGTCACTTTGAACCTTCATTGAGCATGGGTTTAGGGCTTGGAGCATCTTCTCTGCATGGGCAAACGACTTACTTTAAATACGAAGCATTACGTTTATATCCTTCATGCCGTATTTCATAACATGTAGAGAATCTTCCAATATTTTAACTTCCGTTGTACGTTCTCAAAAATATCGAAGCTCAAAAATCATATCCCCATGTTCAGAATCAGCACGAGTCAAAGCAAAGTAGGAGACTTTGATCGGCCATCGCAGATACCCAGACGATTTTGTCAAAATATCACAATCTTTACTTCAAGACATGGACTCAAGAGAACAAAGGCTTCAATTGTTAAACCGTGCTTTGGATCAACTCACTACTACTACGATTCTACTCAATGTGCTACCCGGCAGACACTTCTCGTCTTTTCAGCCGTCATTTTAAGAAGGTCAAATGGGCAGGTTTTATTGTGCGCTAGCTAGCTAACCCTCACTAGAGGAAGAAGGGGTATACTTTGTACCCAAGGCGCAGCTGTGGCTGGCTTCGTCCCATGGTGCAACTTATGCACTTTGCCACTTCTTGTGAATCACCTCGCTACCTCGAACTCAACTTTCTGCGACTATTTAGAGCTACTTGACCTAGTTGATCTGCCCATGTGATGAAGCTCAAACTCACACACGCATATGTACATACGACAAAGCTATCGCATCTATCTAATCGGAATATTGATCAAAGCCATTCGAAGGTAAGGCAGAATTCTATCAGGCAGTCCCAATAATTTTAAACGAATCAGAGTAGAATACGATTCGAGGCTGGACAAAGACATCTCGCGACAGGCGTGCTCTGAGGGCACTGTCCGAATCCCAATGTCAGGAATTCCGAAGAGAAAAGACTCATGGATCACATGGCGATCGTCGACAAAAAGTCTCGATGCCTATTCATCTCAGAGAGAGAATCCATGCGTCACACTGCGATCATCGACAATATGTCGTGACGCTAGTGGCTCGATCTCAGGGAGCTTCTTCATCGCTTGGCTCACATGAGCCTTGGGGCGAAGCCGTGAGAGCCGAAACCACTCGACATCTTCATCAAACACATCGCCGCCTCTTCAGCATTTATTGACCCTGTGTCTTCCGCGTTGACCACAGGTGCTCTTGAACTGTCCCTCTTTTGCTGGCTCTCCGAGGTCGTAGGAGCGGCGTCAGAAGTTTTCATGAAATCGTCGACCGATCGCTCTGATGGATCCACGACTGGAAACACTGAAGATGAGGATGGAACCTCAGTGATCACGTTGTTCAAGAGCTGGTGCTGCCAGGTGAGGCAGCTGTTCCCGCTGCTGCCTCCGGTTTCGTTCTCGTCCGCCTCGCTACCACTTGTCTCGGTGGTCGTAGTGTCGACGCGCATGCTTTCAGTCAACTCGAGTCTCGTCGCCGAAGACCTATTTCTTTTCCACGGCTGCGCCGACGGTTCAACTTGAATATTGCGCCTTGCTCCTTCCTCCGGGGCCCAGCTCTGCTTCGAAATTCCGAGCATCGGTTGCGCGTTCTTTTTTCTCTTCAGCGCCTTGGAAGGGCTGAACTTCACAGACTGGGGACTGGCGGGAAGAGACGATCCAGGCTCGGAGGAGCTGCCGTTGCTAGGATTCTTTTTTCCTAGCTTCTTGTGCCGTATGCCACACGCATTGCACAGAGACTGCATGCAGTAGAACATAAAAGTTAGCACCAAATCACAATTCCAGGTTCACAAGTCAATCAGTAGGCGAGTGATCAGGTACCATTATAGGGCAATTATGAATGAAGTTCAATTTAGTACCTTCGGGCCATCGGGTCCGTTTCTCCAGAGCGGCGTTTTCGTCGTGCTGCAATGGGCACACATCCGAGGAGTGTTTTTCGAAGAAGTAGCTCCGTTTCCTCCCAGGTCCAGAAGGGTGGACCTTTGAGGGAAACGACCATCCTCTCCATTGACGGACTGACCGCTGATAGGCGAGGCAATAGCTCCGGTGTTGAAGGCTGAAGGGGCCTCACAGTACTTGTTCGCTTCCAAAGTTCCCGCTTCGGGACTGGCCAGTGAAGGTATCCATGAGGTCGTGCGACAGAAACCGATTGCCGAAGGAGCTAGGTTCCGGTAAGAGTCCTGGGCGCAATTTTCAGCTGTAAGTACAGCAGCACCACCCTTCTCCACGCCCACAAAGAGTGGGGACTTTTTAGGTCGTGGAAAACCTGAAATTTTGGTGCCTTCGATCGTCGATCCTACGGAACCGGCATACAGATGATTTTGGCTTCCAGAAGCCAATCGACTCTGGCGGGCAGGGACCGTCGTCTGCAAAAAGATCGAAAGCGAACGCTTGTCAGTACATCATCAATACTCCTTCAGAAGAGGCCTTTGGACCTTTTCACGGGCTACCCCCATGAGAAAGACTCACGTAAAGCACACAAGACCTATACAAAACCGGGAGCGAATTCTATTTCGCATTTAATCATCATTACAAAAAGACCCTTCTTTACGAGAAAGATACTACTCGGTAGGAACAGTGTCCGCAAGAGCATGCTCGGGAGAAGCGTCGTAGCCCAAACATAGGAGCTGAAGAAACTTTAATCAATGTTGACGGGCAAACGGGCATCAATTCTACATGTCGTCAGCGAGTAAGAGAGCGAGAATTAAATACCTGGGGGTAGAGGTCTCGGGTGCAGTCAGACGGGAAATTGCGATTGTTGAATAGAATTTGTGGCTCCGACGGACATCCTGCGCCCCAGGCGGCCTGTGGGTTGTAGTAAGGGTGGGCGACCTCGCCAAACGCCGGTGAGCCCGAACGAGAGACTCCTGTAGGAACCGCGGCTTCCGCCCTCTCCCGCTTCACTGTTCCTAAAGAAAGCGTACAGTCAACAGCCCCAGGTTCCGAACTGTCCTCGTACTGATTGAGATCATATTCCGACACAACCTTGTTCGTGCTCCGACTTGGCTCGAGAGCTAAAGCCAAGGCCCGGGGATCATTGTAAGACTTCGCACAGGCCGCGAGGCTGGCATTCGCACTCGGGGCGGGTGTCCCTGCCTTTGAAGAACCCGCCTGGTTCTGAGTCTGAGATGGTGCACCAGCCATTGCACTGAAACTGGAAGACAACGTGGAAAATTTCTGAGAACAGTTTGCTACATGCTGTGGCGCGACCGCTGTCTCGTCCTCGGTTTCAGTTTGTCGAAGCCAGAACTTCTTATAGTGACTCTGTCCATAAACGAGCGGCGAGGGATAGCATGGGGCTTGCAACATGATTAGCCTGCCCAGCTCGAAGCTTGAACTTCACGCGCGCCGCTGACCCTCCTCGCGTGAGGCGCCTGGAACCTCGCTTGTCTCAATTTCGCAATTCACACCCGTCCAACCTGTTTTATAGGAGATGATGGCACGAAATACAAAAACTCAGCGTCGCTGGCGGGTATCGAGACATGAGGAGCTCTCGCGCGCAAATTCTCTTCCCTCTTCACCCTTCACACTGCCCTCGGCCTCGCGGGGTCACGGAAGGCACGAACGCGACGTATTTCCCAGAGGCGGTGCGTCGCTGAAGGTAACCCTGTTTTCCGCGAATTGCATTGACAAAGACTCGGGGCGATCAGCAGTTGGAAGCGAAATCTGCAGAACTGGAAGTGCGGTGCACGATTCACGGGCAGTATAGCCTCTCCAAGCACCAACTACTGCGCGGAAAGAGAGGACTAGACACAGAGCTGCCGCGAGGGAGACCTCGAGCAGCTGGCACCAAGAGCGAAGGGGGGAGGGAGGGGGAAGGCGAGACGATACGAAACGAGACGAGAGCGAGCGGTGAGAGCCCTGGCTAGGTGACAGACCCAAGGCGAGGGATACCAGCCGCGGCAGCGGGAGTGACAGATGCTGCGGTGTAGGAGTCGGAGTCGGAGGCGAAGGGCAAGTGCGCGTAAATATTGTGTACTACTGAGGGCGGTCGCAGACCTGGATATGGTTGTGCAAGACAACGGCACCTCGAGGGAGCGAGGGGAGGGAAGGACGGAAGACTGGAGGGAGAGAAGGAAGGAAGGATCTGCTGAGGGGCGACGCGCGGAGGCTTTAGGCAGTGCAGTGCAGGAGGCGATGAGGCTGAAGGGCTTTGAAAGGTTGAGAGGCGGTGGCGGATGGGACTGGATGGGATCAGTCGCGCCGAAAGAGTCGGATGCGGCAACAAGCACACTTGCACTATCGCATACTCGATCGCGGACCGGACAGAGCAGCCCCAGGACCGCGACGAACGACGATCGTAGTGGGGAAACGACAGACAGCCAGACAGACAGAGAGACAGAGAGGCAGACGAGAGACCGAAAACGAGCGAACGAACGAAAGCGAGAGCGCCGAGGGGAGCGGGCGAGCGGGCGAGGCAGGGAGGGGGGGGGGGCTAGAGGCTGAGACGATAGATTAGCGCAAGCGGGAGAAACTCCATGACGGCGGCGCACGCAGGCCTTCGGATCGAGGGGGGAACGGGGATCCGACCGTCGATGGGGATCGTGGACCAGTAAGAGCGAGGTGGGGAGCGCCGAGCGCCGTCGATATATAATCCGGGGCCACATCGGACGGGCTGCGAGTCCACCTTACGTGGGCTGTTATCCAGGCCGACCGGGGCTCGATGAGTGGTTCTACAGAGTGTTGGACGGAACAGCCCTAGCTCTTCCCACAGGCAACCACGTCGACCGGCAGATGGCGGCGCCCCTTTTCAGGCCACCACCCCCGATCTCATTTTTAGTCCGGTAGCGGTACGAGTCTCGGTCGGCGGCTGTCATGGCTTCTCCTCAGCCTTTCGCTCCGCGCCTCCTTCGTGCCTCCCTCCGGCGCTGCCGAGGCGCCGCTCCTCCGACGGACGCCTCCAGGCTCGGAGGTCCTCTGCACCGGGAGCCCGCTGCCTTTCCCGGGCCGGGCCGTCCGTCGCTCACCGGCTGCCTCCCACACCGCTGGAGGCCCCCCCCCCGTCTCCCCCATGCCTGCCCCTGCGCAGTGCGACTTCTTCTGCGCTGCTTATCCCAACACTGGCTGCCCTGCGTACGTCCCGAGGCCCGCCATTGGCCGCTGCCCGCAGCACGCCCTAAATTGAACGGAACGCGGGTGACTGGCGATCTCGGCTTTTGGCCTCCATCGATCAGGATCACTCGAAAAGTACACTCCGGATCGCGAGGGGCGCTTTCGCGGTGACGGGTAAGTGTTAAGGCCGCGCACCGGCACACGTGGAGGTAAATGTTATATGTTTGGAGCCTGGGGACACATCCACTCAGGGGAGGTGGACCTTGGAGGGCGCGGAGGGCGCCCTGTGTGCGCTTGTCGCACTCGGCGATCGGGTCCAGATCGAGTCGCCGGCTCGACCAGTGATCGGCGAACGATTCATATCTCCGAAATAGATCGAAATATTTATAGTGGGCCTCGCATTTTCCCATTGGCGCGATCCGACGGTGTACGACAGCGCGAACGAACTCGAGTTCGGAAAGCGCGATCTCCTTGCGATCGGGGACGTCGCGCATCACATCTCCATCACCCCGGATCCCATCATTTCTGCGTGATTATTATCGATTAAAATTATTTACTCCTCTCCGCTCGCTCTCCGCCTCTCTTTTCTTTCTCCGAGTCTGTCCCTCTCTCGGCGAGTCCCTCTCCTTTCTGCTGCACCAGAAGCGGCAGCAGCGGCAGCCGCAGCCGCAGCAGCAGCATGCCGCTGACGGTAGAGCGAGCCCTCAATTTAATGTCGTCACGTCCATAGTCTACACCACGCTAGTCTTCGGATCGCAAGCCCTCGCTCGCCCCTGTTCGATAGATTGTACTTTTCGGGAGTTTCGATCTTCTCTAGCAGAAGTAGTGATGTTCGAAGTACAGCAGGAACATCAGAAAGAACAAGATCAAAGTCAGGCCCCCAGGGCGAGAGAAAGTTTGGGGAGACCAGGTCCTGTTCTATCTGGTTAGGTTGTACTTCCCCCATATATCCTATTGTTATGTCTTTTGAGATTGGAACGCCACTACCGCCTGTACATCCGGTACTGCAACAGACATGGAAAGAGAGGAACAAAGGCGGTCAATATTCATCCCTCTCCGTGACATCCCTCCATTCAGTCCCATCCAGTCCTCCGCCTCATTTTGCTTTGTTTCTTCCGTGCCATCTTCCCCTTTAAGAAGCTGGTGCCTGCGGTGGAGGCTCCGATATGGCTGCAACTTTTGATCCAACATCTTTTTTCTATATAGAGCACAGGAATGGAAGGAGCTTCATCACATCATTCATCTTGTGGTGGCTCGAGAATCGTGCTTGCTTTGTCGAGGTAATTTTGCTCTCCATATGCTGTCGAGGTATAAAATTTTGACCAGGAGGTACAAGGCTGCAGTGACACAGAGAAGCAAAGTCATCGGAATCATTCCAAATTTTTCAATCATTTGCTTCATAACCTAGGGAGAAATTGAAACCGAGACGTGAATATTCTCTAAACGTTCCAGACACTTTCGGGACAGACATTTTATAATGATCTTTGTCAAGGGATAAGAATTGTAAGCCATTGAAAGTGTAAGTCATGTTCGGCAACAAGGTCAAATATAGATGCACTCTACAAAAATTGTTTAAAAAACCATTGTCCTGCCAAAAAACTCTTTGTTTATTTCCATAAACGATAGAATTAGTTGGTGGAATCCAAAAAGTGCATTAGTCCAATCATTAGACAATGAACGTGTTCCGAGTAAGCATCGTTTATCGACAGTCCAAACCACAGCTTCAAGATCAACTTATTCGTGGTGTTGTGATATCGGAAGATGATTCATGAGCAAGCTAATCGAACCAGTCCAGATGTTAAATTAATAATTGTCTTCTTGTGACCACCTAAGTAAACGAGTCATACATTGAAAAATATAAATGTGCCACACAATAACGAATACTTTTCCGTAACGGAACTACTATGATGCAAGCCTCTCAACATGCTCTTGTTGGGATATTAGAAATTCTGTAATACACGGCTCTCAACATGCTCTTGATGAGATCACGATGAACTTCTATTTTTCTCATGAACACACTCTTTTCAGCATATAAGCAGATAGATCTATATTCTCGGACAAAATTATTATTTATATAGAGCATCTGCAATTGTATCGTTAAAAATCTACTGCCTCACAATCACTCTACCACCAGCTCCACGTCAAGAACATTCTACAATGTACAGTATTAAATTTTTTTCACACACACACAAGTTGTGGCTGCATTTCATGATTAAATAAAACAGTTTATGATCCCAAGCCAAGTTTGAGCCTGCTAATGGCTTAGCGAATATTATAAATTATGGCATGGTTTTAATTTGTGACCGTTCTATTAAATAGTGATGTTCCATTTGTACATTCTTTCCTTTTTATAGAAAATGAAACCATATATCCTATTTATATGATATAATATACCCAGGTCAAAAGTTATTTAATTATGGATCTCATTGATAATTGCGGGTTTCTTGCTGATGCAAAACATGAGATACATCTCATATATAAGTTATTAATATCGAGTTGACGTTTTACTATGACTCCAACTATATTCAAGAATTGTGTTGGAAAAGAATCATAATGTTTTTCATGAATGTATCGAAAACAGGACTAAAGACCTTGCAAACTCGTCCACTTTTTTTATTTACTAGACGAAACATTCAGATTTCAATCACTTCATTTCAGTTCAATTCAACTTAGCAGTAATTCTTATAATGTGTTGAGTTAACACAATTCTATTAACTATTGCATGTCACATACACAGCTGGAAATATTGAACTTTTTGAAAGTTAAAAAAAATTTGAAATCTAATAAAACTCATTCGCTTGAGTTTATTACGATTTTGCATGTGATTTTGAACATTTTCAAAATACCCGATTGATCCATTTTAGAAGACATTTTCCTGAAGCTTATTTGTGTCTCTTCTACATTCTTGAAAATTTTAAGAAAGACCTCTAAGAACATCGATTAATGTATGCGATAATTACACGCAAATGCGTAAAGTGGATAGAATAAAATACATCTTTTGCTTCACATGATTGATGTGAAAAATTATTACAATAGTTTAGGAATATGAATCAATAAATCAAATATGAATCTATTACATGTAACAAAAGTATGTATAATCCAGTGTTGAGATCAATGTTTTATCACTTTTTTTTGCATCACTGAGTAGTTGTGTGTATATTATGTAGTTGGCTTTTCATCGAAAGAATTGACACGTTTGAATTTTTAAGTGCTTAAAGAAACTTGACTACAAAAAAAACTTAGAAATCACACATGATCTATTTCATAAAGGTTAAATAAGAGCTGGAACTGTTATTGAACTTACAATCTACTATATGGCATGAGATTAAGAAGATCCAATGTAAACAGAAGCCAAATGTCTTCTATCTTCTGCGTGCCCAAACACACCTTCTTATCTTAGCGCAATCTACAGTGACTTGCACTTATAAACTTCACCTCATCATATCATATTGGTTGATAATCATTGGGTGATGAACTGAAGAACACATCTTAAAGGCATGGTACTCGGAATACCGCAACAAAGTAAGTTACCCTGTTTTATTTTACAGAGCAAGGTATATACATATGAACCAAATAAGAATTTTTATTACATTTATTTTTTTGGATTTATATAATTACCGTATAGAGTACAGCATCTTGAAAAAATATTTGTTAGAAAGGTCGAAGTTTTTGATGATCTACTTTTGATTTATTTAATTGATATGGAGATGTTATGAAAGTGATGAAGAGAAAAAGTTGTCCCAATACTTGAAATGCAGTCTGTGAACTACTGCCAACTACTGAAGGCCATGGGTTGTATAAACTCACAATTGGGTGGTGTAAGAAGGTCCATCCCCTGAATATGTTACTTCCAATTGTGACGTACAGAATGTGCTATATTTTTCCATTTTAGTAGGATAGATCAAAATATAATTCCATACGGTTGTGACACCGAGGGAGAGACTTTGTGATGAAGCATATCGCTTACAAATTATACATTCTGTTGCAGAGTGCGGAGACAAAGTCTTTGTTATACTCTCCTGAAATTCATTGCCCAGCGAGCAAAGTACAACAAGGAGCACACACTTTTGAACGAGAGTCCATCAGCAGGTGAGCAACGAAGATACTCGAGACC